TCAGGGGTCTCACAACTTGATCACCCACCCCTGGTGTTTTACAGCTGTCAAGAACATGGAGGAATACAAGTGAATATTCACCATTCCTCAAAAAGTTGAGTGTTTTCCCAAGAACTTGTTTCAGTTACATAAATTCATGCAAGGTCTGCTCACATGGGGGGAGGGAACTTGTCTGAACAAGTTTTCACTCCCTACTGCAGGTACAAGCTGTCCCATTTATTATCCATGTGTGTTCCCTGCTGGATGGAGATCTGCTTGTTTTGCTGTTGGATTCCTCCTCTCTGGAAGTTCAGTCAATGTCCACTCGTAACAATGTCCACTTGTTACACATCTGACAAGCACCACCTGCATTCACAGATGAATTTATAGCACGTTTTTATCTGTAGTCTCAGAGTAAGTTTTTTAAATAGTTAATTCAGGTCACTGAACATTGTTCTACCCAAAAGATTTTTATCACAGGAAGAAGGGCAAAAAAGGACAAAATTGCCATTAGATATAATTACTTTGTTTTTATGGGTTAGCAGTATCCACACACACACAAAAGGAAATACTAAGTGAAATGATGGATTTTTATGATGATGAAAACCTATTACACTGTGAGCTACCATGAAGAACTCATTTTCTCCTGAAGAACCATAAGCTATTGTTACTAATCCATGGTACAGTTAAAATCCTCATATAAAAACAATTATACATTATCTATCACCCCTTTTCCAGACACTGACATTTCAAAAAAAAAAAACCAAAACAACACTTGGATTTATATCAACACAAAGGATACCAATTTTGCAACTGAAGAGGTGGGTTTATATATATGTGCACACAAGAAATATTTAAGAACACCAAATGCTTTTGTTGCCAAGGTATGAAAAGAAATATATTCTATTTATCACACTGCTTGTTCATTATTTCAAAAATCTTCCTGTTTTCCAGAACATACACTAGGAAGCATCACAGTATCATGAAGGACCCGACTGCTAAAATTCTCAAACTGTTTATCTTTACAGTTAGGAATCAACTTCACATCTTTTGGATGCAACTTATTCACTTCAGTCTTTGCTAGTGTTAAATAGAAAGAATAATTATCTTCACAAAAACTCTGTGTTCATTGTGTTACTGAAAGTCAGTCTGTCATAGCTGCACTGCACCACATCCAAATACTCTTGAAGAAGGTCTCAATCCTGATTAGGGACTAAATCCTCATGAAAACTGAAGTTTCTGTTCTATTTAGATCAATTATCAGCACATCCACTAACCTTCAAAATGGCCTGACTCAAGCCAAAGTTTAATGCACATTATCAGCAGCAAGGAGGAGCTTTCAGCATTTCTTTTAGGATGTGATCAAAAGCAGCTCTGCACAGCTGCCAGACTTCCTGACAGTGTCTTGTAACAGCTTAACTTCAGTTCCTCCAATCTCAAAAGAGCCTTTTCTTTGAGAGGAGTTTACCCTAGTTTCATCTGTCCTCTGGTTTATTTTACATTCTCAAAAAAGGTGGAACAAGATTCCATGAGAAGGTGATTTATTAGGACAGCACAGTGGAGTGGCAGAGTTGAGAAAATCCTGGAAAACTGTAAGATGTAGCAAAGGTGTTACGCTGCTGGCAAACCTGTTAATTGGTCTGAGGGGGCAGATGAGGAGAAGGCAGCAGGACACTGCCAGATACTGAACTGAGGGTCAGCCTGATCCTCCTTTGTGTTACAGGGACCCACAGACCCAAACGTCTGGGTGTGCAACAAGAGTCCTGGGAGAGAACCTACAGAATGATACAGGCAATTGAAACAGAATCTGGATTTGTCAACTGTGCTAAAATACCAGTTAATACAACCCTGACAGCTCAGTCCTGACCCACCAAACACACCAGGCTGGTTCCAAGAGATGCACTAACATGGACTACGTGCTTTCACTGTCAGGATAAATCTTACATTCTAACCTTTAAGTCTCAGCACTAAAATATGATCCCAGCCAGTCAGCAAACATGGAGAGAGCTGGTATATTTTAGATGAGGAATAGATTTGGAAAGGTTCTTTGACAGACCTATTCCCCCATAGCTACACAATGACATTTTAAATCATTCAACTGAACTTTAACAGAAAAAACCCCAAAAACCCAACTCCTGCCAAGAAGGGTGAAGAGCACAAACCAGCACACTTCCCACATGTACAACCACCATTGTCAGTGTCTAAGGTGACAATTTGCTTTCTCTAATGTGTGTCATTTACTGACAGACTTTTGGTCATGCACTTAAATCAAGCACAGCTGCCTAATAAGAACACAACCATCCCCATGTAACTACAGCAGGCAGGATCCTCCCCAAATCCACAGCTGCTCCTAGGCCAGGCTGAACAGGAGCGAGGTTTCCATCAAAGGAAGGTGTTTGTGTAACACAACCTTCTGAAGCAGTGCTTAAAGCAAAGAGAGCAGACTCTCATGATTTCAACTTTTCAAGTTTTAAACCAACAGAAGTATTTGGTATCAATTGGCAGGGTTCCAGCTCTGTCATCAGCAGATCTACCTCTGCACTGATGTTGTCTCTGTTCCCTTCTCCAGGCTCCATCCACCCTACATCTGGTAAGTGCTTAGACATTAATATTCTTTTTTAGAAAAGTACTACAGAGGAACAAGGCCCAAGGCAGTGATTACAAATATTATTATTTCAGTGCTTGGCTTCCAGCAAAAATCACAGCTCCATTCCTGCTAGAAAAGACTACCTTGCTGCCAAGAGGTTCCGCTCCAGTTTTTGCAGGGAGGATTCAAGAAGAGGTTTCACCTTTAACCTGATCTGAGATCCCTGAGTTCCCAGAAAGATTCATTCAAGTCCAGGAAGAAAGAGTGGGGGAAGGGAAATAACAGCATAAATTCCATCTGAATTCAGAGGCAGAGCTTGAATCAAAATGTAAGACCAGTGTGCATGGGAGGAGGGAGTGTAGGTAATTTACTATTGCTGTTGTAAAGTTTATGGAAGTAAAAAAAAAATAAATTGAACAATTATCTCTTTTAACTACACACACACCCCACACCTGTCTTGGTAACTGGTTTTGTCATTAATGGTCACTTGAATTTAAAAAAACCCTAACCCACACATCTTTTTTTTGGTCAGATGTTACCTTACCTGCCACTGTATTTTAATTATCAATTGCAATTATTTCCCATTGTATAACTTAGATTATGTGATAAAAAGCTTCAAAGCTTTGTGTTTCAGATACAGAATTACTTTCCTTCTTTTTAAAACTGAGTATGGGTGGATTCATTGGGATTAGCATACAGATCAAGTATTAGGATAACAATCTGTATTTTAAAATCAGCAATAACAACAGACTTAAAAGGCATCCTTCTGAACCGATTCCACATCCTGCTGGTTCTTACACCAAACAGTTTCACTGCAGAGCCAACAAAAGGAATGTCACCAGCAAATAGTATTGAAGTTTGAAAGTGTCTTCAAATGCCTCTCACTAGAATAGAAATGCAGTTTTCAAACATTTCCACACATGTGTAACATTTCACCTGCAGTGAAATTCACTCTGGCAAAGCAGAACTGCTTATGCATTTGATTACTGTAAGAGCAGTTCTATGACTAATTCAGAAATGACACAGACCTGTGATAAATCCAAGATGTCTATTTTTAGAACCATATCAACTCAAAAAACAAAAACCAAGCCTAGCCTGAAGTCAGGCTTATGATTAGTCCATATTCTTTTGCTGTACTTCAAAATGGAAGTGATTTAATCTGTCCTAATACAGCCAGTGTGTCTCACATGAGACCCCACAGCCTGTGCTCCAGTTCCAGAACTGTTACACAGCATAACTGAAACAGGTCATGGATGTTGGAATATATAACCACAACAACATATCCCCGTTTCTCTTTCTTTTTCACTTCTTTGGGAATGTGAAAGTGAAGCCATTACTTTACCAAACACAAACAGGTATGACACAGCTCCAAAGGGACAAAAATACATTCCAACGTGGGAACAAATACCAGAGGAGAATTAGTTCCTCTGATAACAGGAACAGCAGAAGGTTTCAGCCACCCAGTATGTGCGAGCTACAGGAAAAACACCAACCCAACTCACCAGTTCAGTGAGCAACTTAATGGGACACCCCAGCCCTGAACAGCTGCCCTGACTGCTCAGTCCCCAAGGGGGGCACAGCCGGGGGAGCCTGCGGAGAAGGAATCACAGAATCAGTCAGGCTGGAAAAGACATCCAAGATCACCGAGTCCGACCTTTGAACAAACACCACCTTGTCAAACACACCATGGCACCGAACGCCACGTCCAGCCTCTCCTCGAACACCTCCAGCAACGGGGACTCCACCACCTCCCAGGGCAGCCCATTCCGATGTCTAATCACCCCTCATGTGAATAATTTCTCCCTAATGTCCAACCTACACCTCCCCTGGCGCAGGAAGGGGGAAGGAGCCGAGGCGCCCTTTCTCCCTGCCCGCCGCAGCCACCTGACAGCGCTCCGCTCCGAGAGGACGAGCTAAAAATAATACACACAAAAATAAAACACATCCGGGCCTGCGCCTGCCGGGCCCGGGCCGAGCGAACCAGCACCAGGCCGGGAACCCCGGAGCGGGGCCAGGCCCCAGCCCCGCGGCCGCGGGAAGGGCGGGGAGAAGGACAAGCCCTCGGCGCTGCCTCAGGGCCGGAGGAAGGAGGTCACCGCCCGGCCGGGAGGGGAAGGGACACCCCGCGCACCTTCCCCGCACGGCGAGGCCGCCCTCAGCCGCTGCCTCAGCCCGGCCGCCCCTCTCGCAGCCCCGGAGGGCGCGGCGGGCCCCGCGTCCAGCCCGCGAGAGCCGGGCAGGGCAGGGCTCGGCGCCTCACCTGCCCCGGCCCGCCGAGCCCCCGCTGCTCCCGAGGGGCTTCGCCGCCGCCGCCGCGCCGGAAGCGCCCGCGAGGAGCAGGAGGAGGAGGAGGAGGAGGAGAAGGAGGAAGATCCGCGGTGTTACCACACACCAGGCGTTGTCCGGAACCGCGCGCGGGGCCCTGGGGCTCGTAGTCCGCGCTTCGCGACCACAAGCCCCACAATGCCGAGCGGAGCGGGGGCGGGAGCGCTGGCGGGGCGGGCCGGGGCGGGGACAGCGGCCGGGCGGAGCGGGGCTCAGAGGAGCCGAGCACATCCCTGCACGGCAGAGAGGCGGCGGAGCGCGGAGCGGCGGCAGCAGCACCGCCGGGCAGCGGGCGGGGCGGCGGCGAGCGTGCCGGTGAGTGCGCCCGTCCCTTCGCGGGGCTGTGTGGCCGAATAAACCGGGCGGCTCCGGCTTATTTCTTACACCGGAGTAGCGGCGGTGCGGAGGAGCCGCTGCCCGTGCGGGGGTCGCCGGCGTTCCTTGGGCGCCGGAGGAAGGGAGGGAGGGACGGGCTGCGCCCGCTGCTGCGGGAGAGGAGCGTTCGGGATCAGAGCTGCTCCTCCGGCGTGGGATACCCGGCGGCGAGCGGCAGGCAAGCCCAGAGCCCCTCCGGTGCTCGCTCGGCCGGGGAGGGACGCGCTCTCTCCCGGCCCCGCGGAGCTCAGCCCGCGCCCCGGCGGAGTTGTGCTCGGCTGAGGGGAGTGTGGCGGTGCCGTGCCCCAGAGCCCGCGGGTCCCTGCGGCCGTGCAGACCCTTCCCAGCCCGCAGCTGGGCTTCCAGAGCCCGCCCGTGAGCGGCTTCTCCCGCCTGTGGCAGCCTCGTCCTGGCCGCTCGCTGGGCGCGCCGCAGACCGTCTGTGCGCCCCGGGAGCTGGCCGCTGAAAGAACTAAACTTGGGCATGATTTGTCGGGGTGACTCTGCTGCTAGTAAGCTTTGCGGTTTGAAGATTCAAATTACATTGTAGGAAGAGCTCAGCGATTAAAATTTAATATTAATATTAAAGCATCAACTCAGTTCTAGGTCCGAATTTGCATTTCTGATGTGTCGCTGTTAACGCTCACTTTATAAAAACGCTGATCGCTTCTAATATTAAGGCGTACGAATTCCCCATTGTGAGCACGGGAACTGAAGCATTCAACTTGTCAGCATTGGCTGTAACTTCTTGCGGTGCTGCTGGCAGGGTGGGAAGAGTTGGGTGCCTTTGGGAGCAAAGGGATGATGTGCAGGTGTCCGTGTGTGTTACCCATCCACATCTCCTCCTTCGGGGGAAACAAAGGCACTGGGTGGGGGAAAAATAGGAAAAAAAGTACCTGGATTGTTACAGGTGTGAATCTTCTCCTTCCCGCACCACCTGGTTTTGTTTTAATCAGATCTCTCACATATCGATGGGTGATCTCTCACATATCAAATACTCTACGCATCCTGGTATTAAAAGACTGCTTAAAACCTGCATCGTGTGCGTGAGTTTTGTACCGTTAATCACCGTTGAGCTCAGATATTCTTCAGTTTTCCCCTCATTTTTAATGTGATCTGTTGATTTAGTCTAATGGAAAATTACGCCCTTCTGTGTAGGGGAGAGGTGTTTAGTAAAATGTTGTAGCATAGATTGAGCCAAATGTCTGTTTAATGGTATTTTATTCTTTCAGTGAAATTTGTATGTTTTAAATAAAGCTACAAAGCTGCAGTCATAGAGCTGCTAAAACTTAAGATAGTTACCTCTTCCATCAATTTTGTGATACTTTTCCAGGTTCTGTCGGGTCTTGGTTGGACTTCTGGGGGTTGGACTGTGAGGCTTGGAGTAGATTCACACTTTGTTATTTTACATCCATTGTATTTTTTAGAATTACTCTGGCTTGGTTGAGTGTGATGAGGAATAATTGCCAAGGAGAGGGAGGGAGCAGGAATGGTTGAGGGTTATTTTTTTGAGGTGTGGGTTGTCTACAGAATTGCACAGGACAGCCTAAGATATAATGCAATGTGAAGGCTTGTGGCAGTGTAAAGTTTCCTGTTAAAGGCAGTCATGAGTTCCAAAATTTGACCTCATGAGACTGTCTGTCCTGTATTTTCACATCCTCTAGTCCAATTTGAGTTGGGATTTTTAAATTTGCTTTGAGTTTGTCTCTTCATCTGCCATTGTCAGGGATTTGCTCACATGTAGATGGAAGCTATTCGTGAGCGTGTCAGTCATCTCCTTTCATATTCGGGGTGAACAGTTCTAGGAGCACTATTGTAATAACTCTCTTGAAATTTATTCTGTGGATGTAAATGTAGTATTTATGTGTAGCTTAGTTCAGTTTGTAACCTTGTGTATCACAGCACGTAGCGATGAAAATGGGTTAGTGCTGGTAGAATTCTTCACAGCAAGATCTGACTACTCCCCGTTATTTAAAGGCTTCTGCAACTAATGTTTTACTTCTCAAAATTTCAGATTTGTTTTTTGAGCTGTTCATCATCAGTGGAGACACATTGTTGGCATGCCTGAATACCTTTAAAAATAATTTCTAGCAATTTGTGTTCTGTGTGGGCAATACATTATTCTGTCTGTGTAAAGCACAGGCTGAATTAATATAGGGTACATCTGTCCTATACTGAGTCTTCAGGCTGTCCTTATCTGAATTAAGCTGTGTGTTCAAAATAACGTTCAAAATTGGTGTGTAAGCATGGTTTTCAAAGTTAATGTTTGGTTTTCTCTATTTTATATGGTTTGCATGTCTCTGATACAATATAATGGGCAGATGGTTGGGAAAGATGTCTGTATAGTCAGCTGTAATTAGTGATAAATGTGTCTTTATGAATATATACATACTTTGTATGTATGAACAAACAGAGGAGTTTAATTTAGGAATCCCTTAAAAAAATTTTGGGTTTAATTTGTGTCTTCCCAGCATGGTCTTGTGAACTGGATGACTAAACATTAGCAGAATGTAGAGGTGGGGGAAATAACATACCATGTATTCCTGCAGGAGGGAGGGAAATACTTTGAGTCTTGAATTATGGAATTGACAGGAGGACACATTTTCTGTCAATGTCTTTGTGAAATAGTCCAGGACATAAAGCTGTAGCCGCTTCAAGACAAAAAAAAAATAAAAATCCCGTAGTTCAGTAATAACAGGGAAGTTTTTGGTGCTTATTTTCCCTCTGTACTTGGCATTTGAAGCAGTACAAAATGACAGGGATGTACAGATGTATTGATCCCATTAAGAATGTGTTTATTTCAGGTGTAAATACTCAGTGCAGTCACTAGGAAGGTTGTGTTGGAGAAGGTCTGTAGCTATAAAGTAATGTGAGAATATTTCCTTGCCTGCTTGTGGCTTGGGTAGTTCTCAATAGCATCTCGTTTGGTGGCCTTAATGAAGTATCTGTGATAAAGAATTGTTCTTATGTGGTGTGATTAAAATATCAGCTCTAAGGTCGTGTTCTGGTTTGTTTAATGCACTTCAAAGCTAATGATTATGAGAACTGCAGACCGTGGCTAATGGGATAAAAGCTGTGTGAGTTATCCATGTCCTTTTTGGGCTTTTGGAGTCATTGCAGAGCAGCTGTAGCTGTGAGATGGGGAAAAAAGGAAATTTCTTATTCATACAAGCTAATGAGTTAAATGTGTGTATGGCTTTTGGGTTAATGAGATTTGACCTGTGTTGTAAAGGATTTTTGGTTTAGTTCAGTGTTTAAATATTGTGATAATTCTTGAGAAATATTTTTGCAGGCCTTGAGACTCTTACTTCAGGAAGAATCAGTAACGACTGTCAAGAAGAAGAAAGTTAAAACAATGTGGTTGTATTTAGTTTTAACCAACTAGCTTCCAATTTATAGGCCAGCTGTCTTTGCACTAATTTATGAACTTATGAACTGCAGCCCTGAAGTCTTTCATCATTACAAATAAAGAAATAATTGCTTAATAATGCTCTGTGTTCCTGCTCTGCCGTGTGAGTCTGACAGTTCCAGCCCAGTGATGGCTTGATGGGCCTAATGGACAGTCTGCTGCTTCTGGAAAGATCTATTCTGTCCCAATCAAAACTGAAGCCATGCCATGTGTGCAGGGGGGTGTCAGGTGTACAAACCAAGGCTTGTTAGCCAGCAGTGATCTCCCCAGACTGTGGAAGAGCTGCAGTTCCTTGCTTTTCCTCTCCTCTAATTTTGTCATGCATGTTTCTGTGCGCGGAGTAGGTTTGGGGGGATTTCCTCATCTCAGAAAAGAGAACTCTCATTTCCTTTTTAACCTTTCTGCACAACACACTAAAGGCTTTGTTTTGCTTTTGCGAAAGTTCTGAGAATTCTGCTCAGATACCACAGAAAGCAAATTTAATTCCCTTTGCAGTGAGACAAAAGCCCAAACTCTGCTCACCAGCTGCGTTTTGCATCTGGTACTGTTTGAGCAGCAATCCCATCCCAGCCTTGATTCTCCTGTGGAAGTTTGGAGTGAGCTGGAGGACTTGGACATGTACTTTTCACTGTGATTTTTTAAAGTGCCCTTGGCATGTCAAGGCAGTGTTAAGAGCGTGGGTACTTTGCCAAAGACAGCCTGTCGGAACTCCTCAGCATCACTCAGCCACTGGAGATTGCCTCCTTCCCTGGCACAGCAGCCAAGTGCCAGGGTTTGGGGACTGTCTCCATGTCTGAGGTGATGTTTGCTGCCCTAGTTTTCCCCATACATCTCAGTTATGTAAGTTGGAAAGAAAGGTCTAAAGATTTAAGGCATCATTTTTTAATTGGTACACCAAAACTGCCCTTTTCCAATGCTTTTCTTTCCCACGTTTAAATTAAAGCAGCTCCTGGAGCATTTAATGACTGTGTACTTCACACAGCAATTGGAGTTCACTGAAGCAGCTCATGTTTTCTCTCTCAGATATCTTTTTCTCAAAAGAAGCATTGCTCCAGTTTCTAAACTATTTAAAGTAATTAATCAAAACCTAAGACGACAGGAACAGCTTCTGTAATATCAGGTCCTCAACTTGAGATGAGGCTGATGCAAAGGGAAAGTGCCCAAGTCCCCACCAGTGTGTGTAAAGCCTGTAGGTGAATGATGACCTTTTCATCTGCTAAGAGAGATGAGAAGTGGGAGGAAGAAGACAGGGGAACCGAGTTATTTTTACTGTAAATATGTCAGTTTATTGACTTGTTAATTTCAGATTTATTCAAAAAAGCAGGAGGAGGAAACACTAATGTCTGCCAAAAACAAAGTAATTAGTGGGAGTTGAAAGATGTCTAATGACTCTTGCAAGTACTAAAGAGGAATAAACTAGTCTCTTATTAAACTGGATATGGACTTTTAAAACACTGTAGTAATTCTGTTTTATCTTTAAAACATGTGCAATTGCATATGGTAAATAAAAACCTAAAGTAACATTGTTTAT